CCCTTTTCTCTTCCAGATGAGGGGCTCTGGGACATCCTCATCAAAGATATCCCCAAGGAGGTGACCTCCTACACCTTCAGCACGGACATCCTCAAGCAGGGGGTCAGCTACGACTTCCGTGTCATCGCCGTCAACGACTACGGCTAAACGGACCCCCCACCCGGCTCCCCCCCTTTCCCTCCGTGTCAGGTAGCCAGCGGGGGCAGCACGTAGGGGTCCCTGGGGGAACGCTTTCACCTCTGTGCTGGAGAAAGACCCCCAGCATTGCTCTGTTCCCATGGCCAGTGCTGACACCCATGTCCCTGACCCTGCCTGGATCCTAGAGATCCCCAAATCCTGCTGCCGGCAGCATCTGCCAGCCCTCCCCGTGCAAAGCCTCTGCTATCCCCCTCCGACCCTCACGTGGATCCTGGTCTCAGAGTTCCCCAAGGCGACCTCACGCCCTGCAGCGGGGTCTCCCCATCTTTGCCCCCATCCCCCTCTGATCCTCCCTGCTGTGCCCCAGCCCAGAAAGCCAACCCCTTCTACGAGGAGTGGTGGTTCCTGGTGGTCATTGCGCTGGTGGGGCTCATCTTCATCCTCCTGCTCGTCTTTGTGCTCATCATCCGTGGGCAGAGCAAGAAGTATGCCAAGAAGTCGGACTCAGGTGAGCACCGGTGGTCAGGTGGGTGGTGATGGGACCCTTCTAGGTTGTCAGCTGAGGGGTGCAGAGCTCTGACGCCCATAGGACCCTCCCTGCCTGCATTTTGGGTCTAAGCAGGGCTGTGGGAGCCTGCCTCCTCACTTTCTTTGGGGCCCAGACCCGGTGACATCCCATAAAGATGCTCTGGGCTTTCCAGAGAGCACTGGGAGCGGAAGATTAAATAAGTGACTTGTCCCACTGTCTGCTGCAGAGGCAGGGCAGCCCGGGGGCTCGGCAGGGGTCACTGGGATTAGGCAAACATGGCTCTGTTTTCTTAGCTGTATCAAGGGCTCAAATTGCGGGGAAAATCCGGACCTCCTGGTTAAGCAAATAGAGCCGGAGGCAATGGGGCAGGTCAGGGTGCGAGCCAAGGCGGGTAGGCTCGGCTTCGTGCTGGGCACGGAGCTGCTGCCTGGCACCTCCTGGGCAAGCCCAGGATTTGATTTCTCCAATGCCAGAGCCGGCACCACCCTCTCCAGACCATTCCCCAGCCTCCCGGTGCAGGGTTCAGGCCCCCCCCATGCTGTGCTGCCTGGGGAGGGTCTGGGCTGAGCATCCTGTCTCGCAGGGAATGGCTCCAAGGCGACCGCCCTGAGCCACGGCGAGATGGTGAGCCTGGATGAGGGCAGCTTCCCTGCGCTGGAGCTCAACAACCGGCGCCTCTCCGTCAAGAATTCCTTCTGCCGGAAGAATGGCATCTACACCCGGTAAGGACCCCCCTGCCACAGCCCCCTGCCCAGGCAGGAGGGAGTATCTTCAGTCACCACTCACCGCGGGATGAGCATAGGGCTGGGGAGGGCTGGCACCCCGGGGGGGGGACCCTGTTCTGCCCAATGTCCAGGGATGGGGGTTGCCATGGCTTAAGGGTGTCCTCAGGGAATTTGGTATGACTTAGGGGTGTCCTGGGAGGATTTGGCATGTCTTAGGGGTGTCCCAGGGGGGTTGGCATGGTTTAGGGGTGTCCTGGGAGGATTTGGCATGATTTAGGGGTGTCCTAGGGGTGTTGGCATGGCTTAGGGGTGTCCTGGGAGGATTTGGCATGTCCTAGGGGTGTCCCAGGGGAGTTGGCATGGTTTAGGGGTGTCCCTGAGCCTATCCTGGGGATCAGCTGGGCTCGTCCCCG